GAACGATGTAGATGTAGGTGGCGGAGGTGGTATTCCCGAAGGGTTCCACATAGGTCGATGGGTCGTCATTGCATAGTGCATTGGGCCACGGAACATGGGTACTGTTTGGTGCCAGCCATGTTGATGTCGAGGAGGTGTGCGTGAGCGATCCGGCTGGGAAGGAGGAATTGCATTCAAGTCGGAGCTATACTGGGAAATCAAATCCTGGGACGCCATGACGTAGACGGGAACCACGAAGTGATAGATCAAAATAAGCTCGATTAGCCAACTGAAAACTGCGGTAAGGTGAAAAGGTGATACGAAGGTGGCGAGCGATCAGAAAGGTGTGAAACATGGTAAACAGTCCCTGTGTGTGAAACGTGAGGTGAAATTCGAAGGAACCGTAAAATTCCAATACCATGAGCCTGCAGCGATTCAAAGACCTTTTGATGGAAGAAGTGGCATCAATACCGAATGTCGGGAGAAGCATTGTTACTCCAAAAGAATCGGGCACGGCCACTAGGCTCACTGGATCGCTGTCGCAGAATAGTAGGCAGTTTGTCAGGTACTCCTCAAGGGTGAAGTGCTTACCAGCGAGATCTGGAGTGGGTGTATGCCGAGTTTCGAGAGCGAGGTTGGCCTTCACGGTGCTGATCTCGAGAATGGCCTTCACGATAGGAGGAACGGCGATCTCGACGATTGTAGGTCGAGTTGTCCCACGAAGCATTGTCATGCCAAGGTCGGCGAGCATGATCTCGTGAGGCAAGTTCGGTGGTCTCGTGGTGGCTGGTTGTGTCTCGAGAGTCGTCTGGAGGTGGGTCTGAAGGTGCTGGTGTGTCGGCAGCAGGGTCAGGTCGAGCTGGACGTGCATGATCAGCTGGCGGTTCAGTTGGTGCTACTGCAATGGGTGGGTTTGTCTCCGCTGCCTGGTGTGTGATCAAGCCCGGGAAAACCGAATGAGTAGAGGCAACATAGCATATGGATGCGGCGCTGGAGTTCATAGCCGTTGCATTGTCTTTGCCCTTGGCGATGCCCGATAGGTTGCACAAGCGTTGAATTTGGTCATTTCCTCCAGATAGGGCCCGTATGCATTTAGGTGAGCGACAGATGGCCAATAGGCCAGATGGGTTTTGTCCTTTCCCTATGCGGTAGAGCTGAGATGTACATATCTTGACAGCATAGCCCGGTAGGTTATCGATGTCAGGAATCTCCGAGGACATGCCGAAGAACCCGTAGCATGGGTATTGTGTCGGGTAGCCGGCTTCGTTTTTTGTCCAAGTTGCCGGGCGAATGCAGTCTTCCGCGAGGATCTTGGCAACTGTTTCCCAACTCGTTTTGTGGTAAATCAGGTAGGTGCCCATGTGCTCGCCACGATAGATCGGTTTTTTGGGCAATCCCGTTGGGACCGTGATGGTCAGCAGGTTCTCTGGCTCGATGTAAAACGCTTTGGTTTGCTTCGCCAGCTCGATGTCCAGTAAGCTGGATTGTGCAAAGGCCCTGGCAATGTTCTTGACGGTGGCCTGGCTTGCTTTGATATAAATAAGTTGGTTGTTGACGGTGCGATATGGTTGAGCCAACTGGTGGAACATCTCGTCAACGAACTGGTTGAAGAGCTGCAAGGTGGGCTGGGTCAATGATTGGCGTAGGGGTACTGTATGGTCGGGGTCGAGCTCAGTCAAGCAACGAACCCTGAGTGGATCATTGGCAGCCTCAACCATTTCACTGAGGTCGATGTCATTCGTGTCAAATTTTGAGATCGAAATTGCATCTGTCACCTCAGAGTTTTCGCTGTCGCCGTCAGGGACGCGGAAGGACACGGCTCCAAGTGGTGCTGTGGTGTGGGATGGTGGGTTGGTAGATGGTTCAGGTGGTGGTGGACCGGTGGGAGAGTTGGGTCGAGTAGTGCTGTGATGGTAGTTGTCGGTGTAGTGGCTATTGTTCCATTCGCCCCAGGTATCATCAGCGTCAGGAGTGGGGATGTAGGCCGGATTGGATGGGCGTGCAGCTGGTCGTAGTACGACTTCGCGGCCTCTGGAGCGACGACGAGGTGTCTCGGAACGTGGTCCTGGGTGAGATCGATGACGTCGAGGAACCACGGGAGAGCGGCGTCTTGGCGGTGATCTTCGTCTGTATGGAGAAGGAGTTCTGCGGTCCTTGTCATGCTTCGTGGATGACCGAAATCGAGGAAGGGGAGAACGAGGTCGTACAGCACGTCGGGGAGAATGTCGATGATGATGTGATTGTGCAGAGGGTCGACGGGAGCGTGATCTCGGAGTCCTGGATCGTGGTCTGTGCGTTGGTGATGGTGGAGCATGTAGGTGGTGAGGAGGAGAGATAGCAGAAACTGAGATAATGCGAGGGTCCGGAACGTCAGGTTCGGTGGGTCTGGCTTTAGGTGCAGGTGGAGGCATGGCAGTAGGTGGTGGTGCTGCTGTAGGTAATGGTGTAGGCGGTATGGGGTTCGGTGTAGGTACATCGTGGTGGAGGAGTAGCTGACGTTGTTCTTGGGCGCGTTGAGAATCCAGAATCAGTTGTTGTTGAGCTTGAATAAGACGGACCGATTCCGCAAGTCGTTGTGTAGTGGAGCCCAGCGCTGCAAGTTCAGGTGAAACGGATGGAGACGGTGCTGCCGTAGGTGCCGGTGGTGTAGCAGGGGAAGAGGCTTTCGGAGCTGACCGACGTGGTTTGTCCGTTTTCTTGTCGGAGCGAAGCTTTGGGGCAGCCTTAACTGCTGGTGGTGGAGGTTCATCTGGAGGGACCATAGATTCAGATGCTTCAGTCGATAGTGGAGGTTGAAGGTGGTGAGGTGGGTATGGAGAGCTCTGCAAAGGTGTCGGTGGTGTAGTCGATGTAGGCGATGAAGCCGGAGCAGAATGCCATGTGGGTGGAGCGATGGGTGCCGGAGGAGTAGTGAAAGTCGGTGGAGCGGTGTGCACCAGGGCGGTTTCAGGAGCCAAAGGTGTGGGCATTGTAGGCACGAGTTGTGGGCCTGGTACCGCATGAGGAGTCGAAGTCAATGGGGTAAAAGGCAGCGATGTTGGGGCTGATGCAGACGGCACGAGCGAAGATGATGAAGACCATGTAGGATGCAATGGCGAGGGATGTCCAAATAAATGTGCGTTCTGCGATGATTGCGGCCACGTCGAGGACGGATTCGTAGGCTGCGGTGGGGCAGGCCATGACGTCGGAGGAGTAGTCCACGGATACATCGCTCGAGTAGAACAAAACAGGAATGGAAAATCACATACAGGATTCAGTCCCTAAATGCCTAAAGGTCGTGCGATTGTTCCCTGCACCGGGACCGTGGTCAAGTCTTGCCCCAATGGCATAAAACGGCTTTCAAAGTCCAACGAATTAGATGCACAAAATGTTTCACCTCACCAGACAACCAAAAGAAAAAGACCACACCTGCAAAGCGTGTGCCTGCCTGTTTCAAGTGTCGTGACATGATGCAATGTCGCTGTAAAAGTGCTGCAAAAAGGAGGTTTCCGAAGTTCAGCACGGCTTCTCGCTGCAAAGAATGCAATTCACAAAGGATCTCAAGGGACAGCCGGAACGGCAGGACATCTCAAAAAAAAAAAAGGTGCAGAACAGAAAGGCCAGCTGTTGCACATTACGTAAACGAATTACTAAATTAAAATGTGTGAATTCAGAATTCAAGACGGTCAACACTCACCCTGAAAAGGGTTGCCTCAAATGGCTCCATGGCACCATGTCGGAGCCACCATGGAAATCACACTAGACAAGAATGGATCATTATATGATCCGGCAGGAACTGAATCCTGAAACATGCAGATTAGATATGAAACAACGAAATTAACGATGCACCCTACGAATAATGGAAGTTCTCCTGAATGGTTTCCATGGCCAAGATCGTCATCAAAAATTTTATAGATCGGCGACGTGGATGTGACAAAATAATCCAAATACATCGGCGACATGGTTTCGGCGAAATAATTCAAAAAATCAAAATACAGTCGGCGACATGGTTTCGGCGAAAAACTGAGGAAGGTTCTGATGCAGGCAATACAGATTGTGGCAACCGTGAAGAAATAAATAAATAGAAGTTGAGGTTCTTGGGTTGAGCCTCTTCCCATCAGCAGACATGGACAATTGAATGGCAGCAAACCCTGAACAACAGGTGATCACAACAACGCAGGTACGTCACTGGACGTCTCCAGTGATATCCTCAGGACACTGCAGAGAGCTTTGTTAAGTGGAGCTCTGCAGGCCTGCTCCACTCCCCTGCAAATGTGAAAAGATTAGAACAATAGAAGTTTTACATCTGTTCAGATGTTACACACACACATGTTCCTAAAAAATGTTTTTTTCGTGACATGCCCTGACTGCAAATATTGTCACATAGGTTTTGGGATTTATCTGAAAACCCCAAAGGCATGTTTTCCTCCAAAAAGAACGTGTTTTCTGCATGTATCAGGTTCAGTTTAGAATCAACCGTCCAACCTCTGTCTAGATATCTTGGAAAACCTCAATTATGCTCGACAAAATGCCTGATTGTTGCATGTGCTGAGTGGATTTGGTCCAAACCGGCTGCATTTTAGATTCGAAAAAAAAACATGTTTTTTGACATGCGTCGCTGCATTTTGGATCAAAGGTTGAGATCCTGGAAATCTGGAAAGACATCTTTGTTCCTCAAAGAAATGCAGGTTTTTTCATGGCTCACTGAATTTCACACCACCAATCTGGCTGGTGGCTGCTGGCTGGCTGCTACCTGATACCACCAGCTGCCTCGTATGGGCTATGGCCCTCTTGCTGTCCATTGCAGGTCATATTCTGTGTCTTAATCAGCTTGTAAGCCAAAGTCATTCCATATTCTTGACGTTAAAGGGAAGTGCTTATTCGGAAACTAGATAATGCAAATCTTCCATTTACCTGCTTTTGCGGAAAGCATTTTTAAAAAAAACACTTTGCTTGAAGGAGAACAATGGAGAACAGCTGAAAAATTGGATATGCGAAGGCTGAAAACGTGCCGCCAGGCACGATTTGAGCTGCTGCCACGC